ATTGATACATTTTATATTTTTATACTTATGTTTTTGTTTGATCAGGCATTATAAATGACTATCCCCTAGGGTCCTAGGCAGATTCTACTCAATGGTGTGTGTGAGTGCATTGTAAAATTTCATATCAGGGTCAGAAATTGGAATATTGGCAATATTTGCCAACTGGAATTGCAAAAAATAAAATAAAAATTTACAATTACCTTACTAAATGGATCTGTGTTGTTTTTATGTTAAATACGTGCATTTAACCAGATACTTATACAGATTGTTAAAAATCTTTTTTTTTGTTTCAACATCAACAAAAAAACATCTGTACACTGCAAAAGTGGAACAGAAGCTGCATCTGACACGGCATTTATGTTCATTTACACGGACTGTTTAATGCTGCTCATGTACATGTATTTACACAAAATTGCATAGCCAATAAATAAATAAAAAATTATAATCATTAGGGAGTGAAGCTGCAATATCATGACAAACTCATTATTGTTGATTATTGCTCTTGATACTGTAATAATGATTATTAATATCGATTAATAGAAAGATTTTGTGGGGAAACGGCACATCATATTCTAGCTACAGAGGAAAGGAGCTAAACCGTTTACCGTCAATTTGTGCCCTAAGATTACGGCATCTACCAGCAGGGGTTATCTGGGCCATACTAACCAGTCAAATCTTGACCTTTTGGCATAAAGAAGACCATTACTACCTATTACCATCTGCTTGATTAGAGTTTTATATAAAACTCTAGAAGATGGTAAATCTCCTGAAATAGGATTGAGCACCCCTACAGTAAAGGCAGACAGCTAGAAAATGCAGACCAAACGTTTTGTATGTGACAGCTAATCTGATATATCCAGTATTTCACACTTCACAAAAAATAACAGCAAAGCAAAATATGGTATTGAACTGCAGTGTTTGGTATAATGATATTTTGACTGTTGTCTGCAGTACAGATCCGCTTACTGGCAACTTGCTCGTCTATATCCTCCATTCCGAAGAAGCAGAATGTCATAAAGTGACATAATGAAAGACATAATGAAATTACACCATTAAATATGCACATCACCTCATCTCAGAGACGTACGACACTGTGCATGACTGGACAAGAGCTCATTAAATCACTGTAACTCTATCTGTAATGAAGTCATGCGCTGTGATTAAGGCTAAGCTTCAACCGTCTTAGTGAACGAGGGACGGGAGCCAAAATCACTCCTATGGTGATGGAGGTGTGAATGACAACAGGTGCACATTGATAAACTGGTAAATCATCGCCATGGGGGAGAAAAAAACATCAAAACAGACACATGCACACACAGGCCTGTTTGCAAACTGACCTGTGCCATTAGATATTGCTTTTGACCCGATTACACAGGTGAACTCTGCTAAATGTGCCCGTTATACATATACACAAATACACGCACTGGAACCAAATCCCCTTAATTTGTTAGTCAATACTGTTAAAGGCGATGAGAAAAGTCCAGTGCAGGATAATGACCTCCATGTCATGTCAATCCATCTCTTCTGCTGCCACAAACACTTTCACAGAGACGCGTTTGTTCACTTCAGCAGACAACAGTTTGAACTCTGTAATCTGCTTTCATTTTTCAGTTTTATCTGACATTATACTGCTGTACCCAAGCGAAAAACTAAAAAATGAAAATACACTTTCAATTTCATTGAGTTTAGCTGAGTTAAGAGCTCTTTTTCTCTATAAGTCAGTTGTTTCTCAGTTTTATCTGTTGTTAATCTTTCTGTTATCTATTATTGATATTTAAAGGGGTCATATGATGCGATTTAAATTTTTCTTTTCCGTTTCAGAAAGGCGGGGCATAGAGGAGAAACAATAATGTACAGTATGTGTAAAATAATGTGTTTTTTGAACCTTAAACCGCATTAACACATTTCATTACACCAAATACACAAAATAATGTTCTTTTTAGCAACATCATATGACCCCCTTTAATAATGATCATTTGAAACCAAACAAACATCAAATAAGAATCCTGTAAAAAAATAAAAAATAAAATCCTACTGAATGAAGTGAAATTAGATTGTCCTATTGTTAAATATATTGTCCTATGAAGACACGTTTTGTTGAAATCATATTGGAAATTATCCCATTAGGATCTTTCCAAATGATTTTAGAAATTCCTATATTGGATTTAAGAATGTTTTACTACGATACTGCTTCTATGAAAAATACATAATAAAATAAAATGTATTAATGAATTCTGAATTTAATAAATTAATAAATGTATCCTCAATTTTATCAGTTATTTTGCACATACACTTATTACATCTACTATCTTTCTATTTTCTGTTATTGATGTTTAATAACAATAATTTAAAAACAAAACAAGAGTCAAATGACAATCCTGTAAAATAAGTAAAATCCTACTAAATAAACGGAAACCGATTATCTTATTGCTAAATATATTGTGCAATCAATGTTTTGTTGGAATCACATTGGAAATTATTAGGATCATTAGGACCTGTCCAAATTGTTGTAGAAATTTAATATTTTTTTATTTTATTGTATAATTCCTATATTAGATTCCAGAAATTTTACTAGGATATTTCTTCTATAAAAAATACATAATAAAATGATTAAAGTATAATAATAATAATATAAATAATAAATATTATTATTATTATTATTATTCATATTGAATTACATTATTCATACATTTTATTATTAATAATGATCATTTTAATTCAAATAACTAAATAAACAACAAACAAACTTTTACAGGAAAGTACACAACATTCTAGCCCTCTATTTTCACTCCTACTGTGTCTCCACTCCAAAACTATAAAGCAAATAAGCACCACCACCAACACTACACATCTAACATGTTTCATCATCCATCCCTGCATCCCTGAGAGGCTTTTATTGACTATTATCCTTGCTGTTTGAAAAGTAACATTTATACATGTCAAATTTCCCCAGTTTTCAGGATGATAGATTAAGCCTCGTTGTTTGCTCATTCGGTACACACACTAGTGCAATGTGGAGCGGTACATTGTCAGACAATTTGTATACACAAGCAAGGTGTCTACAGCATAAGTATCATTATTTATGAAACAACGGCTGACACAAAATCAGATTTGCACCATCTCTGTGTAACCGTTATATCATTGAATGTCTAGAATGCCCTCGTGTCCCTATGTTCCGTTGCCATGCCAACAGAGGCTCCGTTACCACACCAACAAAATCTCTGAGTGATGCTTCACTCTGAAAGACATTCCACACTGTCCTCATCCCTCTGGTGCCCGTCAATCAGTGTCATGCTTGATTGACAGCTGCTTCGACCCCACTGACGAGGGTAAAAAACGCTGTCACCTCACGTTAATCAGAAGCGGCGCATCTTAAGAGGGTGATACGGGAGGAAAGCGTCATCAGACATTTTCAGATCCACTAATGACTTTCGTGTTTTCCCAGGAAGGAGTCTAACGGCTATCAGGAGCGTCTCGGGAGCAGCTCGAGAAAAGAGAGCAGGAGAGTGAAAGGCAGCTCGACCTCTCTGTCAGTTTCTCACCCTATTTTCTTACCGCCTCTCTCTTTCTCAGTATTTATCGCTCCTACTCTCTCTTTCATTAACCCACTTAGCTACAATGTCTGACCCAGACCACAGGCACATTACTCAAACTAGACAGAAGGCAGCACGACCAAGAGTAATTTGGGCGAATGCCTGCATGAAAATAAAGCAATGGTGCCCTGAGTATCACAAACACACACATTCGTTGAGACAACAGAAAATTACAGCCCTGGAAGAAAAAACAGACATGTCTTTAAGGCCTTCGAGTAGGTGACAGAAGATAAAATGGCGATGAGAGAGAGACTGAATGTGCCTGCTTAAAAGTGCACATCAAAGATCGAGAATGGTAGGAAATATTCAGAATATTCGACTACCATTACTACTTTAAATGTTGTTGCAGAACATATCTATTCTAAGCAAATTGTCTGTATACATTGAGTGACCTATACTGCATTTGTCAAAATGGGCAGCATGCAACAGTGTAAATAGTGCTGTGTGTACTGTATGTATCCCACAGTGCAATGTACTCAACTTCCATTTCCACTGTGATAAATGAACATAAAATTTTGTTATGATTTTAACATCTCTTTCATGACTCATTATTTGATTGAACAGTCAAATTGTGTGACATTTTTGCACCAAATCGATTTTAAAAAAGCAATTAACCAAGATGATAACTGAATGCCAGTTGATAAGTTAAACCAAGTGGTTTGGCCAGTTTAGCATGGTCCATTTAGGACCATTAGCACCATACTGTGGGCAAAAAGCATCCTTTATTGATGTCCATTCAGTGGAGGTGGAAGCTGCATTTATTTGATCAAAAATACAGTAAAAACACTGCATAAAAAAAAAAAGGAAAATGTACTGGTAACTTACTGCCAGGATATTGTTCATTAATTTTATGGACATTTCTGTTAACCCTAAAACACAACGCAATGAAATGCAAAATTCACAATACAGGTAAAACACCTGTAAGAATCAGTATGTAAAATTCCTTCATATTAATACAGTACATTGTGCCCTATTTTTACCCATTTTTTTATAGTGTAAGTAGCGTGAAATATTAATACAATTTAAAGTAACATTTTTCAATTTTAAAAATATTTAAAAATGTAATTTATTCCTGTGATGGCAAAGCTAAATTTTCAGCAGCCATTACTGCTATTAGTCTTTAGTGTCACATGGTCTTCAGAAATCATTCTAATATGCAGATCTGGTGCTCAAGAAACATTTCTTATTATTATCAAACAATTCAAATTTTGCTGCTTAATATTTTTGTGGAAACCATAATACTAGTAATACTATTAATACTATTTTCTTAAAAAAAAAAACATTTACAGATCCCAAGCTTTCGAATGGTAGTGTACATTATTCATAGCTAGTATTCCATTACAAACATAATCAGAGATAACAAGGATAAAAACAATAGAGGAAAAGAAAACAGAGTTCATCCCTTACCTTGAACATTGCCAGCCCAACTCCCATTTTCTCTCCTCAACTCCTGCATGTTGATGTGAGCTGGGTCTTGTCTCTTCCTCTCATAGCCCTGGATGGAGGAGTGACTGACCGTTGAAGTAGTTTTGAGGGATTGGTAAGGAAAAAATAGGACTGGTTCAGAGACCGTGGATGAAAGTGTAGGTCCTACTGTAAATCCAGGCTGGATGACTGAGAACAGGAATTGTCTATTGAATCAAAACTATTAAGAAAAGTCACTCAAGAAAAGTAAGAAAGATGCCTGGCTCACAAATAAAGACAAAATAAAAGACAGCTATGCAAACGATGTTCAGTTACTGAAGAAAAGTTGAAAGTCTTATATCAAATCTAAGAAATGTACTTACTGTAAAATTGAAAATGAACCAGGACAAAGTCTAGGACAAAGCCTACATTGGCTACAAAATGTGATATAAAGTGAAAAAAGGGTGAAAAGAAGATGTTTCTTGATTAGTCTAAAAGTCCATTTTGATCTGAACAAGTCCACAAACTCTGGAGCTGCTGGATGCCCAGTAGTGAAAAAGCTGAAGCAGTGACGTCTGGTCTTAATTGGTTCAGGTATCCATGTACGTCCTTTGCTGGGTCCTTCTCATGATACTATTGGAAAAAAAGAAAAAAGAAAAATAAGAGAACAGTATCTTAAGCACAGGTTTTTGGGCAAATGATGTTGAAAAAAAGGTCCAATTTGTTGATGACTTTGGAAAACTTAGTGATTTTTTTCTTTTTTTCCCTTTTGTTATTTCTTTCAATTGATCTAATATAGAGTGCTCAACACTAAATGCTTCATTGGTATGTAATACATGAAGTTTAGTCTATTTCGAGCTATAGAAGGGACAGGCGTGTTTCACAAATACACATAACACACGTACAAATGCATACAAATACATTTATGTGTGATATTTTTATCATGTTACTTACCAGTCTAACTGTCCTTTGGCATTTCATCAGTATTATTTGGATAATGTTTACAAAAATGTGAAACACAAGACGAGTGCAAGCATTCAAAAACATAAGACAAGATGGTCGCCTTCCTTTGATATGTCCATTTCGAACAATAACAGGCAAGTGAGATGCTTTTTTCTTTTGTTTTTCATACAGTCCATGTATAAGAAAAAATTGTGATGAAGATGATGAATTCAGGACGTCAAAAGAAATTTTTATTTTTTTAAAAATTCAACTAAAACTACATTTTAATTGAGATTTCAAACCAGTCACCAAGAAGGAAGCATAAACACATGAACTATATATGATGCTTAGAAAATAAAATATCAATATGAATGGAAAAAGGAGATGTTCAGATTTCCTTCCATCTTAAGTTGCAACACAACGTCACTTCTTGGATCCCCATTCCTTTCTTAGATTCATTTCAAATGAATTCAAAACCAAGGGAAATGAAAAACAATCCTGTTGAATCTTGTTTTTTTTTAATATTCAGAGGTAAACATACATTACATTCTACATAATCAAAATACTAACACAGAATATCAAATCAAAGAAGGCAGTTCTGAATTAAAATGATGTATAAGATGAAGTGGAAAATGTTCATTAAAGGGGGATAAATTAGGGGATATAAATAACTTACAGTGGGGAGTGAAAAGTTTTCATTCTCTAATGAGCTAACGGTCATACAGTGGTCATGCCCGACAGCTAAAAACAGGGACCCTCAATGAGTACAAAGAAAATCAAGAGGTTGTGATAAGAAGAGGCCTGTCTGAAAGGTGTTGGATGGATGGATAAAAAGAGAGAAGAAAGTGGGGAGTGCCAGCAGAAAATTAAACACTCAATAAAACAAAGGACTGACCATAACAGCTCAAATGGACTTGAGCTTGCAAGCTCCCGATAACCGACTGATGCACTGAAGCCTAATCAATATTTTGAGCAAATACCAATCTATTCTTCACAATTCGGGTTCCATGCTTAGAGGAGGTTGCCAGCAATACAAATCACAAGTTTAAAATGTGTCCAAGAACCGCAAATTAAGCAGTCACGCCAACCTCACCCATCTCAGTCAAAGAACGGAAGCAGAACCTCATCTGAAATGTGTCTGTGACAATTTCTCAAACAAAATAAGACACCGATGCTTGCACTGGACACTGGAGATGAATGGAGGCTATTTCAGACTGGGCAGCCCAAGACCAGATGTGTGCAAGTGTGTTTTAAGTGTGTGTGTTACAAAAGAAAGAATGACAGGAAACAAATGTCTTGCTGTTCATAAGTAAAAATGGAAGATGGACAGAGTTGGAGAAGGGTAAAAATGGGCATGGAGAAATGATATGTAATGCTTGACACCTGGCTGTCCATTAGTTTAATGCATATGTGTGTGTGTGTGTGTGTGTGTGTGTGTGTGCATGTGTGTGTGTCTGTCT